ACATAAATGCGGAAAGCCAGATCTTAGCACTACCTAGCTACGTATTTCTGTGGAGCAGGTGCTATAGGATAAATAATTCGAAGGAAATCTCAGTAAACTTTTTTTTCTGGGTGACATGATCTTTTCTTCTTGTGTGATGTGTACTTAGAGTTAGAAAGTTTTGGTCCTGCAAGGGATCTGAGACACCAACTAGCTCAACCTCTGGCCTTACAGATGAGATAGCTGTGACTCAGTGAGGTTATACGTGGATCAGTTTTTGGCAGAAGCTGAACTAGAACTAGCATTCCCAGACTCCTGGTTAAATAAAAATTTGAGGCAGGGTGCAGTGGCTCACACCTGTAATCCTAGCACTTTGGCAGAAGGAGATGAAAGGGTCGCTTAAGCTTAGGAGTTTGAGACCAGCCTGGGCAACAAAGTGAGACCTCCTCTACTGAAAATTTAAAAAATGAACTGGGCATGATGGTACAGACCTGTAGTCCCAGCTACTCAGGAGGCTGAGGTGGGAGGACTGCTTGAGCCTGGGAGATCGAGGCTGCAGTGAGCCATAATCTCACCACTGCACTCCAGCCTGGGCAACAGAGACCCTGTCTGACTGACTGAATAAATTAATGACCAACCAACCAATCTTACCACTGGTGTCAACTCTGGAGTACACCACATGTGATCTTTGCTCTTTTCATTTGGTAGAATTTCAGAGCAAGCTGCTTTTTCTATTTTCTTTTTTTTTTTTTTTTTTAAGACAGTCTCGCTCTGTCACCCAGGCTGGAGTGCAGTGGCACAATCTTCGCTCACTGCAATCTCCCGGGTTCACACCATTCTCCTGCCTCAGCCTCCCAGGTAGCTGGGACTACAGGTGCCCGCCACCATGCCTGGCTAATTTTTTGTATTTTTAGTAGAGATGAGGTTTCACCATGTTAGTCTTGATCTCCTGAAGTCGTGATCCCCCCACCTCGTCCTCCCAAAGTGCTGGGATTACAGGCGTGAGCCACCGCGCCCAGCCCACTTTTTCTATTTTCTCAGTGATAACCCAGAGTATGAGGTTACAGGGAAGGTTAAAGAAGATTACCACATGACAATTACTTGGTACAGAGCAGCGGGCACCTAATATGTTGAGTCCTTTATTTCTTCCCTCATCATTTCATTAGGAAGAAAATCTTTCTAGAGGGTGAATCACAGATGCAGAAGAGGAGAGAGCTGCATTGAGTCAATTACACCAGCATGTCTTGGTGACAGAGAGTCTCCTTTGAAGAAGAGAAGACTAGAAAGGACCAGTGGGGTTCAGGTGGCCTGACTATACAGACCACCCCCTTCCTGCATGACCTCAAAGGGCTTACTGTTTGGGTTCCCAGGTTTGGGGTTGCCTAATGATTGGGGAAGTCTTTACAAGGTTGTGATGGAAACAGGGATCTCCATAGAGCAAGGAGGAAAATCCAGTCTTATGGACCCTTGAGTCCTGCTCACATGGCTCAGAGAATATTCCCACCATCCTCTGCTTCCCCCTCAGTTAGGAGGAGCTCTGCACTCAGTAGCTTAGGGTAGCAGCTTCAAACACCAAGCTGTAGGCCATGCATGACTGAGAAAAGTTTTCACTGAAGGCAAAACGAGAATGCTAACTCCAACATAAAGAATTTTTCACTAGATCAAACCTGAAATTGTGTTTGTTTCCCCTTTTTTTGGTATTAAAGTATCTTTTCTTTCTTATGGTAAAAAAAATCATACCACAGAGAGTAAGATTTCTTTAATGCCTCTTATTTTGCTAAATAAAATCAACATCCCTGTATTGTAACCCCTCATAAATTTGGGGGGAATTTTTTTTTTAGAAATTTTCATCTATGAAATATAAAATGATGGGAAGTATTATTATGGAAACAAGCCCCAGAGAGTTTAGCTTTCTCCATGATTCCTACTAATATGAATATGTGAACATCGTAGCAGCTTAGCCAGGAGGAACCATTAGAATTGGTGTTGGTCAGTGGTGGCTTGCTTGCAAGGCAAAGAGTTATCCCAAACCAGTGCAAGAACAAAAATTGAATTAATTGAATAAATTAATTGGAAGGACCCCACAATGTACTGGAAACGGAAAGTGGGAAGCCCAGGAGACCCCACATGACTGCTGTCTTATCCTTTGCGCTCTCTGAAGATCATGGGGGTCTCACATCTCTATTTTTTAATACAGATTTGCTTTATTTTTTTCTCTGCCCTTTTTCTCTGTTTCACTTTCCCTGCCCATTTTAACCACAGCTTCAAGTTGAAAACTAAGTTGTTTCAAGTTCTCTGTAGACATTGACTAATAGATCCTTTGTCCCAGATCTAAATTTACAGGGGAGAGAATTTAATTGGACCAGCTAAGTTCAGGTGGCTACTTCTTGACCCAATCAGGAAAGACATTTCCAGGGGTGAGAATTTGATTGATCCAACTAAGATCAGGTGACTACTGTTTAGTCCAATCAGGAAAGACCAGGCTGGAGTGGGTGGCCCTGCGCTTTATTGCTCTGTTCAGAGCAACCCTTGCACCTCTCTCTTCTCCTCTCCCCATGCCCCTTTAAATTCAGCAGTTACTGCCCCAAACTCCTTCTGCACTCAGGGTGATGCACCTCTTCGTTCTTCTTGTCCATCTATTGCATATACATTATCTTTTGCTCCCATATAGACCTTATTATATGCTTGACGAGCTCAAGAACTTTTATCTCTGGTGCACTTTTACCCATGGTGCCTAGCACTGTTCCAAAATGCTGTTTTGACTTTTTTTTTTTCCAGCATATCAGATCACAGGGTATTTGGCACAAGTGTCAGCAATTTCCATTGTCTTTTCTCTGAACTAAATGATGTCTCAGCAGCAAGCTGGCATCAGAGGGGAGGGTACTGCGTGTGAGGAGACTGCTAATATGTAGTGATCGTTTTCAGTGAGAACGTGAGTAAGAACAACAACGAAAAGAGGAGTTTACATTTGGAGCTAAATAAATCGTTATGTATAGGAAGTGAGGGAGGAAAATATATAGCCCTACATCTTTGATTTTTCTACTTACCTACCACTACGATGACCCTGAACAAGAAACAGATTTGATTTTGATTTTCTTCAAGGATTATTACCTTCTGCAATGGAAAATGACAACTCATCAAATGTATTGTTTCTGCCGTGAGCTACAAAGATGACCATATAGCAGAGGTTATAAATGTAGCCATGTTGCTTAAAGTTATATTATTTCTTGGCTATTTTGCTAAACTGAATCTATCTTCTTTTTTTAAAAAAAATGTCAGGGATGAGGACATCATACCTTGATATTCTGCTGAGCACGGTAAAGAGGAAGCTACCTCACTGAGGACCACATGAATTTGTCTAAATCTTGGTGAACTGGGCAGTGATTTAGGGATAATTTTCCTGGCCAAATACTTGTAATGTGTGTCAAAGCCAGATCCCCATAACAGAAGCGGACTTTGTGAAAAATAAATCTAGGAATACACCACTTTAGGGATTTGCACAGAAAAATTAACCAAAGGAGACAATCTGACTGTTAATACATGTTCCTTCTGATCATGATATTGGCATGTAATCTGAGCTGAGTTTCCTGTGGAACACCCAGTCATCTTGAAGCCTCATCCCTTAAGAAACACAGGGCAGAAGGTACTGACCTTATCCCTGCTTTCCTCTACGGGAAGGTCCTGAGAGGCGCATAGGAAGGTGTGATTGTCTGAATAATACAATTGATGCTGTTGAGAGGGGTCTTCTTGTACTTTTAGCAAGAAGCTGCTTATCCGATTCTCAAAGGGTACTGCCAGAGTATCGGGCACACCTTGGGCATCCATGAAAGAAATCTGTAGCCCAAACCTCGAGGCCAGACTGGCTAAAGAATTGTCAGCGTACCTTGTTCAAAAATCATTAATAAGGCCGGGCATGGTGGCTCGCACCTTGGAATCCCAGCACTTTGGGAGACTGAGGCAGGTGGATCACCTGAGGTCAAGAGTTCGAGACCAGCCTGGCCAATGTGGCAAAACCCCATCTCTACTAAAAATACAAAAATTAGCTGAATATGGTGGCACACGCCTGTAATCCCAGCTACTCAGGATGTTGAGGCAGGAGAATTGCTTGAACCCAGGAGGTGGAGGTTGCAGTGAGCCAAGATGGCGCCATTGCACTCTACCCTGGGCAACAAGAGTGAAACTCCATCTCAGAAAAATGAAATGAAATGAAATGAAATGAAATAAAATACAATAAAATAAAATAAATTAAATATCTCCCTTGCAATGTGAGTTTACTGATTGTAGAAACAGTCTTGGTATGAGACTGTTAAGGGCCAGTTGTGTACAATTTACTCTGGTATGAGTACCTCATCCATCTTGGGTGCATAGAAAAGTATACGGTCCCCTCTGTTGTGAAAGCACTGTTAGAATTTGTCTGGCAAAAGGAATTGTTTGCTATCGCTTTCCTATAATGTGACTTCTCCTAAACCCCCTGTTCAAAATGGACCACATAAGTCAAATAATAAAAATCTTAATGGAGACTAGGTGCGGCAGGTCACGCCTGTAATCCTAGCACTTTGGGAGGCCAAGGCAGGTGGATCACATGAGGTCAGGAGTTCAAGAGTACTCAAAGTACTCAAAGCCTGGCCAACATGGTGAAACCCCATCTCTGCTAAAAATACAAAAATTAGCCAGGCATGTTGGAGCGCACCTGTAGTCCCAGCTATTCAGGAGGCTGAGGCATGAGAATTGCTTGAACCCAGGAGGCGGAGGTTGTAGTGAGTCGAGATCATGCCACTGCACTCTGGCAATCAATCAATCAATCAATACAATGGAACACTGAAGGGCAATGTTATTTTCCGGTAATTTTCACAACTGATACTTTGACCACTAGGTCTTTAGTTTTCTCTATCTAACCCTTCTGATGAACTTTTCCCCCTTGCCATATTATTTTTCCAGATTAATAGAGATGGCATTGGACATATTTTCAATATGATTAATAATAGTCTATTTTCCCACTTTCTTTAAAATGTCTTTTGCAGACAAGGAGCCCCAAACTGTCTCACAGTCCTCAACCACCCAGTCTGGGTGACCCGGTCGAGCATTTATCAGAGACGTCCGCTGATTCTTTGGAAGCCATGTCTGAGGGGGATGCTCCAACCCCTTTTTCCAGAGGCAGCCGGACTCGCGCAAGCCTTCCCGTGGTGAGGTCAACCAACCAGACGAAAGAAAGATCTCTGGGTAAGCTTTAGAAGGCAGTTTCTGATGCCCTTTTCTTACTGAATGCGTGTCTTGTTATACTTCTGAACCTATACCCTTTCATTCAACATTCATTTGATATTGATTTGCAAATACTCTAGTACTGGGAAACTTCATTGGTTTAATATCAAGCATTGAGGATTTGCCTGATGGGTAATCACATCAAGTGCAAGCTGGCTTTGAGTCTGGGCACATTCAGAAGTGGTTGGGATTAGTAATTCAAGCCAAGGGGCTAGTAGTATTTTACCTATGTTCCTGCTACTATACAGCAGGAGTCCCCAGTCCCCAGGCCATGGACCACTACCAGTCCTGTGGCCCGTTAGGAACCAGACCACACAGCAAGAGGTGAGCAGAGGATGAGCGAGGGTTACTGCCTGAGCTCCGCCTCCTATCAGATCAACTGTGGCATCAGCTTCTCATAGGAGATGAACCCTATTGTGAACTGCACGAGTGAGGGATCTAGGTTGCATGTTCTTATGAGAATCTAACTAATGCCTGATGATCCGAGATGGAACAGTTTCATCCCGAAACCATTAGTGGAAAATTGTCTTTCACGAAACCAGTCCCTGGTGCCAAAAAAGTTAGGGACCACTGGTCTACAGTAAACTGTGAGGAACTGGCCACAGAATGATCCTCTTGTCACCTTGCAAACCTCTTCTCCAGTCCCAGAAACCAGGACAGTTGGCATTTTTACCCAGTGCTGTGGGTTTCCACCAGCCCTGCTGCACCTGTCTGGTAATTCAGTGGAGGAGATGAGTGGCTCCAGGACAAAAAGGGACAACGTGGCCAGCATCTCCATGACTATTCATAAGAACCTTGAACACGAGGCTGTTCCCACTACCGCGTGAAAGGATAGAGGGGCTTGGTGTGTGTAGTACACAGCTTTTCTGAAAGGTAGAAGGATTCTTTTTATGCTTTTACCACATATCATTTCCTTTTTCTGTGTTGGAAGTTCACTTTCTATCTTGCTTGGTTTTTAAATTTCTTTTTTTTTTCTTTTTTTTTTTTTTTGGCCCTTTAACAAAATGGACAAGTCGTGAGGATTTAGACCTCTCTGTCAACTGGGCAGATGTTTCTTATGCTTCACTGCCATGTTAAGGTTCTGATTTGGGTACCTGTGTTTACAAACAGATGGGCTTGGGGCTAAGAGGGGACAGGAAAAGGGTCAACATGCAAAAGCCTTCAGAGTCTGGCGCATGCAAAAGACAGCTGAACTCCGCCATGTAAAACTGAGCAAATGCCTTGCTGGGAGAAGAAAGAAGAAGATAGATATGAGAGAAGGTATCCTGATTTTGTTTCCTTAGCTGCAGATAATGACCCAAGCAGACTGGATTCAGACATTGTCCTAGCTGTCCTAAAAGAAACCCGACCGGGCGCGGTGGCTCACGCCTGTAATCCCAGCACTTTGGGAGGCCAAGGTGGGTGGATCACGAGGTCAGGAGATTGAGACCGTCCTGGCTAACACGGTGAAACCCCATCTCCACTAAAAATACAAAAAATTAGCCAGGCGTGGTGGCAGGCACCTGTAGTCCCAGCCACTCAGGAGGCTGAGACTGGAGAATGGCATGAACCCAGGAGACGGAGCTTTCAGTAAGCCGAGATCGTGCCACTGCACTCTAGCCTGGGCGACAGAGCAAGACTCCATCAAAAAAATACACACCCACAACTTTGTTATTATTTGTATTATCAATATGAATATTTAACATTAAATTTTGTGTACTTGATCTTAGTAATCTAAGGTCCTCGTTGTGTAAATGAGAGAAGACCACAGAAAATGTGCTTTTTGTTGATGTGTGTGTTTGCTTGTTTGAGCTCACACAGTTAATTAAATGGCATCAGTGGGAAGTGCAGGGCTTCAGTTCCCGTTAACATCATCTTACAAATGAAGGGACAAGGACACACACAGGAGGGACACACCCAAGGAGCTTCATGGGCCAAGACAGTGTCAAGATGACACAGGCTTCCACACCATCACCAGGCTGGAGTTTTCTTTCTGGATTCAAGAAATTTGTGGTTTCTTTTTTTTTTTTTTTTTTTTTTGAGACAGAGTTTTGCTCTGTCACCCAGGCTGGAGTGCAGTGGCATGATCATGACTCACTACAGCCTCGACGTCCCAGGTTCAAGGGATCCTCCCATCTCAGCCTTCTGAGTAGATGGGACGACAGGCACGCACCCAGACACCTGGCTAATTTTTTATTTTTTATAGAGGCAGGGTCTCACTATGTTGCCCAGGCTGGTCTGGAACTCCTGGACTCAAGTAATCCTCCCACCTCGACCTCACAAAATGCTGGGATTATAGGCATAAGCCAGCACGCCTGGCCTGAAACTTGTGCTTTCTTAACTCCACTCACACTTAGGAGCCAGGCAAGGAATGGGATTTCTCCTTTGTGCTTGAAGGAAATGAGTGAAGCTCAGGTCTCTGTAAAGATAACCTCGGCTTTGCAAACCAAAATGAAGATAAGAATAAATGCCTCTCCGCCTCCCCCCATACCTGGGGAACTTTGACTCTGTCGGATAATAGATCTTTTGTCTTAAAGGAAGGAATTTCCTCTGCAGCCAAGAACGGTTGGCCGTGCAGGTTGAGACTTGCTGGGTTCAGGAACCAAGCCTTGGGGCAGAGAGACTGCAGGAGCTAAGGCCGGCTTGCCCAAGGAATGGCTGAGGGTGGCGGGTGTTTTCGCACAGGGGTGGCCACGCTTCTGCAAATTGCTCCGTTTTACTCAGCATCCTTTGCTGTAGAGTGCTGGTGTGCTGTCACAGCAGGCTGAAAAATGCATCTGACCTGTTTATTCTGCCCTCCCTGTGAGGGGCTTTTTGACCTGTCATTTTTCACTGCTCCTGGATAGAAACAAAGGAACACAGTAAGAGGAGAGGAGAGAAATGAGCAGTTTCTTGCCAAAGCGAAGGGAAGCTCTGGTTCCAGAAAATGAGGCTGGCACTGGGCCAGCTGGGTTGATGTTGCCCTTGACCGCCTCTTTGTGGCCGATTGAGGAATGTCCCCCAAGCCGCACCTGGCCCTTATGGCGTAATCCAGTTGAACCTGGACGGGAAATAGAAAGGAAAATGTGAGTCACAGCAAGTGTAAACGCAGTCTCCCTCCCAGAGGCCTTGCTCAGCTTAGTCTTTGGGAAACTCCCCGCCTCCTGGCCTCATTTAACACACAGACGCACGGGTTCCTGGGATAAATAGTGCTCCCCGGAGAGCCCCGCCATGAGCAAGGGTGTCTCCCAGCACCTGGGTGGCCCAGAAGCACAGCTGCAACTCTATGGGGCCTCAGATATGCAGACTGGATACTTTGAACTGTAACCCCCTGGAAACCCGCTGTTGATGCCATCTGGAAGCCCTGGGTGTCTTTTGGGATCTGTACATTGTCACTTTATCTCAATCCACAGAGTTTTAAGTTCTCCCATGAAGCCCTGTTGACCTTGCCTTTGTTTAAAATGTTGATGGTTTGTTCATCATGGATTATTTTTTATCATTTTATTTTTTGAGAGCAACTTTTTAGGTTTGTAACAATATCGAGGAGAAAGTACAGACAGTTCCCATACACCCTTGGCCTCCACGCATGCACAGCCCCCACCTTGATCAGCATCCCCTACTAAAGTGGTACGTTTGTTACGGTCAATGAAATGAGACCAACACATTGATATCACCCAGAGTCCATAGTTTACTTTGGGGTTCACTCTTGGTGTTGTGCATTCTGTGGATTTGAACAAAGGTCATGACATGTATCCACCATTATGGTATTATACAGAATGGTTTCACTTGCCCTAAAAATCCTCTGTGCTCTGCCTATTCATCCCTTCCTCCTGGCTAACCACTCACCAACTGCTCATCTTTTCATTGTCTCCATAGTTTTGCCTTTTACAGAATGTCTTGTAGTTGGAATCCCATGGCATGTAGCCTTTTCATATTGGCTTCTTCCACTTAATAATATGCATTTATGTTTTCTCCATATATTTTTATGGTTAGATAGCTCATTTGTTTTTCACATCTGAATAATCTGTTTTTATGTTTTGTTGTCACCCAGGCTGGAGTGCAGTGGTGCAATCACAACTCACTGCAGCCTCAACTTGAGGCATAGATGAGTCTCCCACGTCAGCTTCCTGAATAGCTGGGACTACAGACATGTGCCACCATGCCTGGCTAAGGTTTTGTACCTACAGGGTTTCATCTTATTACCCAGGCTGGTCTCGAACTCCTGGGCTCAAGAGTCTGCCCATCTCTGCCTCCCGAAGTGCTGGGATTACAGGTGTGAGCTACCATGCCCAGCCTGAATAATATTCTGTAGTCTGGATATACTACAAGTTTATTTGTCTATTCACCTTCCAAAGGATATTGTGGTTGCTTCCAAGTCTCGGCAATTATAAATAATGCTCTATAAACATTCACGTGCAGGTATTTGTGTGAACATACATTGCAGTTCTTCTGGGTAGATACCAAGGAACATGATTGCTGGATTACCTGGGAAGCCGCTACTTAGTTTTGTTTTGTCATGGGTTATTGCATTAATTTTGCTTTTTAAAAATATTGCACAAAGACATTCTTTATCATGGTAACTGAGCTTTTGGGAGATCCTTAAATTTTGCACTGGAAGTATGTGCCTTGCTGACCTCACCCCAGTGCCAGCCCCTCATGTCACCCCAGGCGCATCAGATACTGTTACTGCCAGTCCCCAGCCACAGGGCCTGGAGGAAGGAGAGTGAGGAAAGCCCAGCTCCCAGCCTGTACTCTGGCGCATGGTGCCACAGTTTGTCACTGGAGTCCTTCCCCAGCTCAGGCAGCACAGAAAGGCACCTTGAGGGTGGAGCCAGGACAAGATGAAATCCTCACACCACTCCAGCTCCTGAGAGGGGAGGAAACCTTCCCTAACTTCAGTCTGCCTGTGCCTGGAGATAAACCTGCCTGACTCTTAGTTTCTCCACTTGAATAATTTCTCATTTCTATTGCTTCAGTGTATTTGGGGGCTGGGAGAAATGCAG